TTTCGTCAGGTTCGAGTCCGGTTCAAGCTCGAACCGAACCAGACTCGAACCGAACCAGACTTTTTTTCGGAACCCTAATCGCAGATATATGAAATTCATAATTTAAGTAATAACGATAAAATGTGACGAGATTATTATTTCTAATTTAAATGATACAAATCTATAAATAAAAATATCTGGTTAATTCAGTGTGTATCGCGTGATTCACGTGATTTTAAGAGGTGCCGAACAGATCGGAATTCACATGCTCCGACCTTATAGATCACGTGAGTTTCACAATGATCCGCGACAATAAATATATTGTTTGTTATAAATTTAATATTTGAAATTTTAGCAAATAATATTATGTATATATATGGTGCATAACATCTAAAGTCATCAAAACATTTGTATTTATAAAATGGATAAACTTCTTTAACAAGAAGTAAATATAAAATTTAATCCGTGAATATACTCAGAGAAGTTTATCCATTTTATAAAATACAAACGTTTGATGACTTTAGATGTTATGCACCATAGTGCGCCTTATCCCATTTCAAAAATTCCAGTTTATTTTTACATATTTCTGATTTTAAAATTGGAAATAAAAAAATCCAATTTTAAAATTGGAAATAAAAAAAAATCAGAAATAAACCAGATTTTCAAAGGTTATAAAGTTCCAAAATACAAGTCAGCGTGCTATTTTTTCCGCAATACCAATGCAAAATTTGGTTTAAAAACATTTTTTTTATTTCGAAAAAAATCGCGAATTAACGAGGCTAGAGTGAAATTTGGCGTCGTAAATATTGTTAGAGTTAAAACCCATTTATACATCCACAAATAAAAAAATTTTCAGTTCAGTTCTCCCATATTTTAATACTATAAAGATGAAAATATATAAAATTAAAAGAACACTACATGGTGCACGGGATTCGAAACGTCCACGTGAACCGCTTCCCCCAATTTGGAGAATAAAGCAATATCACGAAATTAGTGATATTCGGATAAGCATCGTTCGACATCAACCACAAGAGGATTGCCCAATATCGATATATCGGATAGGGTACAAGAGTGATCGAGACGAATATAAAAGTGATTCATCTTACCTTAAAAAAAGGCTTGGTTTTTATAAATAGATCTATTATTCTCAAGTTAATGTACACAATTATTTGAAGAATAAACTCATATTTCTTGTCAAATAAACATATACTTGTTAATAAAATCTCGTCTGTGATAAAAATCGTATCCATATTGTCTAGTTGAGTGATCCATAGAGAGATCACAAAAGTACTAGGAAGTATTGATTAAGGAAGGCCGATAAAGCTAATCCTCACTCACTACCTTCTATCGGTGGACGCTAGCGACGGGTTATTAGGATTGATCCGTGGGTTGGACGATCTTGAACACGTGATCGTATAAACAGTCTCCGGGTTATCCAACCTCCATCGGTTCCACTGGGTAACAACGTATAACGAATGAAAGTTTGAAAAAATCATAGGGTGTGTACCATATATAAATAAGTTAATCTGGTGTTTATTGTGCGAGCACGAATATGCATTATATTAAATGAGAATTAACGGGAAAAATTTACGCGTTTCAATCTAAATCTGAAAAACCAATAAGGGTTATGAATACACCCAATATTTAGAGTTATTGTAAAATGAAAGACATTTATAAGTTTAGAACTCGTTTCGAATGTCAATCAAACAAATTAACAAATTCACGTAAACATTTATTTTTTCGGATATTGATGTGAGATTTAATCTTACGACTATATATTAAACGGACATCTCCACTAACGTTATTTAATGCACACCTTTTTAATTCGAAATTCTTATCCTAACTCTGGAATCGGGAACTGATTTTTCAATTCAATAATTTTTCACTTGTTGCCGTTACTTCTCCCAACCTCGAGAATACCTCCCAGGTCCCTGCCCAAAAGGTTGTTCTATGATAAGATATTTTGTATTTTATGCAAAGGTTCTCAATTGTCGGCTGTATTTTATGGAAATGATGTCTTGGAATAGATGGAAAGAGCTGCAACAAAAAACATATATATATTTATGAGTAAATAATGAACGAACAGCTAAAATTTTATTCAGAAATATGAAATAACCTACATGGTGTTCAATCTGATAATTCAATCCACCGGTGAACCAATCGATCCACCACTGATATGCAGGAATTGCAGATATCACATCACGCCCAGTGATCACCTGTTCCTCAAAGAAATCCATATTCTGCGATTCTTCTTCTGTCAATACTCGCATTCCATTATGATTTAACGAGAACACCAACGCCAGCAATATTCCGCATATCATTTGTGAAGAGAAGAAGAAAGTAATAGCGAATGAAATGGTGGGTATGTACCATATCAAAGCACCCACCCAAGCGTAATGAATGCCCAGTCCGATTTTCTCTGCTGTTGCCACGGGCATTTTCACAGATTTGCCATCTTGTCCGTCGGGGAGGACAAATACGAAGCTTTGTATTAACCAAGAGAGCCGCGCAAATGTTAGTATCGGGAAATATAATAATGTTTGGTATTTGACCAAGAAGCGCGCAGTGGTCGGCGAAACTCCGCTCGATTTGATAAATTTTTCTGTGAATTCTGGATCAAACATATCAGTCAGCGCATATTCAGACCAAGAGAGAAGTGGATGGGTATTAATATCTGGATCTTGTCCGTGCACATTGGGTGCAGCATGATGAGTATTATGCTTATCCTTCCACCTTGAGAATTAATCATATTGTTATTTTAATTAAATATTATTAACATCACGATACTTTATTTAAACCTACCAACTTGGTGTAAATCCTTGACAAACACTACCAATAAATGCACCCATTAGATCGTTATATTTTCTCTCCTCGAATACTTGATGATGAAGAAAATCATGGGCAAGCCAACCACATTGTTGCCAAAATAATCCCATTAAAGCAGCAGATGATAAAATTCCAATCAGGCTTCGACCATAATTTACCAATATTGCACAGGATATTGCCCAAATAGTAAGATTGGATAGTATTTTAAAGGCATAATAACTTTTAGAGGAATCATAATAGTTCAGTTGTTTAAAATGTTCCCTAAGTTCACGTAGTTCTTTTGTAAATCCTTAAGTTACGTATCAAAAAATAGGTTAGTATATATTCTAGCAATTATATCAAAACTCTGAACTTTCATTTACCGTTCTCTACGATAGAAAAATCAGTGGGATCAAGATCTCCAACGTAAAAATTAGACAATATCTCAAACGCACTCTCAGGATGAAAGTTGTAAAACGCGTCTAAATTTAATTTAATGAAGAAGTAATCTTTAAAAATCATGATGATTGGATAAGTTGATATGTCAAAAATAGCTAACCTGTGGCGTCTTTGCCAATATGCGTTAAAATAACTGCACCACCCGGATGTTCTTTCACGAATTCTCGAATGTCATAAACTTTATTATCTACAATTATATACCAGGGTGTTTCCGAAAAGTTTTTTTGTCGTGCGTTTTTTCGTTTAACTTTTTCTTTTTCGTCACGCCAGTTTACTAGCTTTGTTATTTCTTCTCGTCGGAATAACTGTGGACCTAGTTCGATACATATTCTGAAATTCAATATATGGTAAATTCAAATTGTCATTCTTGCGAGTAGTGTCTAGTACCTTCTATAGTCGGGTCGATAACTTCTTGAGGAGGCATTACGCGATAAATTATTTATTAAGTTACTCTTGCACCGTAATTATATGTACATGTATTATTATATATATCGGAAGAGCAATTCTTAAGTAAAGAATTTTCAAAAAATCACAATAATACATATAACACATTCTCATTCTTTTATCCTCTTCTGCTACAATAACAATAAAATTTTTTGTTGGGGGGTAATACAAAGAAATAATGTTTTTTATATTCACAATCATTTTGATTGATTTTATTGCATGTAATTTGTCAATTAGCATTCACGCAAAAAAGAACTTCACAATTGCACATGTCGCGCATGTATTTCAATGGACAATGTAGTTTTAGCCCCAATTTTCGCTTGTATTATGCCTTTGTTATTGAGAAATGCCCCAACCAAGATCTTCTGGATTGTCCATATCAGGCAGGTACTGATTTTGCATATTTTATTTGACAGGTGTTGATTTTCTTTACTTATGGATTTTTTTTCAGCTATTATCATCGGTTCAATCCAGTGTTTTACCAAATATGGTAATTATAATTAAAGTGCGGATTGATTATGTGTGATGGATAATATTCCGATATGTACAATGGTATAGTGGATAATATCCAAAATTCGAAACAGATGAGGCTTTTAAGGATCGATGTATACCAATCATTCCGTGCCAACTACGTTATACCATAATTCGAATATTCCGTAGTATAAATTGTTTTGGGAATACTTTATTTTAAAGATTTTCATATGAACAAAAAGGAATTTTTTCTATACACGTTACTCCATACATGCTCAATTAGGAACATTTGAGAGCCAGATCTTTATAATAAAGAAAAAATCATGTGATTTATACTCTATACAGTCGACTTTCGATATAACGACCATGCAGATCATATTGTAAACAATATAAATTCGATAGAATCTGCATGGTCGTTATATCGACTGTATTTCACTTTATATTAAAGTTTAAGCTCAATACAACCTTTACTATAAAAAGAGTCAAATATCTATAACAAGAATTTGGTGAGGAATCAACGCACATGCTAATTTTTCGTTAATACTTTGAATTCATTGGGAACTGAATCTATCACGCGACCTACACATTCGATACTTGCTTTTACATCGGCTCCCACACCGAAATACAAAGTTCTAAAATTACTCTTCATCCCAAATACCTGCGATTAACCGGTTTAAACAGATTAACGTTAAGGGTTTTTTTGAATTTAAACATTTATTTGTACAGTCGCACCTCATTATAGTCACACTCGATATAGTCACAACCTTTTTATAGACACTCTTTCCCAGTTTCAGCTCATATTCTTATCGATATATTCACAGGGTCGGGAGGCGGAAATCCGGTGACTACAAGAAGATGAAGTCAAATTTCTTGGGAAAGAGTGTGACTATAATGAGGTTGTGACTATAACGAGGTGCGACTGTAGTCACTGGATTTCCGCCTCCCGACCCTGTGACTATATCGAGGTTTGTTTTTCTTTTTAACAATGACACAAATAAGGAATCTAATACAAGAAATGCCTTCATTGTTTAACCAGTTTTGGGTCCCATCCAGGAAGAGTCCTGATACTCCGGATTTAGATAGAGACCTGTCAGGTGGAAACTAAAAAGAAATTACCTTCTTTTCAACAATATCGTTCGACATTGGCTTTTCGTCTCTTCCAAGCCATTCCAATTATTCGTGAATTAATGATGTCAAAATCAAAACTCCACATATAACCAGTGGTCAAAATCAAGTAGGCTACGAGAGCTATCCAAAAGGAAATATAATTAATACCCTTTCGCCTTTTCTTTCGCGTTCGCTAGTAGACATTCTTTGGGACATGTGCAAATGGCGACTTCTTTCTAATTGAAAAGTTCCCACGCTCACTTATGAGCCGGGACCGTTCAGATCGGTCCTAGATCGACGACCAATGAAATTCGTGCCGAACACACATTTTATTGTTCGGGGAATCACCAATCAAAGTATCCGAGATTTATGTCCAAAATTTAATTTTTGCAGCAAGTTTAAAGTCTTATCAATAAGCTCAATGTACAGTTACAAATCTCTACTTACTTAGTAATTTTTGTCATGCAATCGCAGCAGCCGCAACGTCCGCAACATCCGCAACAACAGCAACCCCCAGAACACCCGGAACAACAGCAACAACAAAAACTGCAACAACAAAAACTACAACAACGCTCTCGCTCAATGCATCATGGGCAACTTGATTTAAAACAGACAGCAAAGTTATGCGCTGGATACTTTTGGTGTGGTGTAAAGGATGCTTTTGCCTGGCCCTCAAGCTTAATTATCATTTATGGGTAGGTGGCATTGCTTGTTACTTTCTTAAACATCTACATTTACAGTGAAGACTCATTTCTCTCATTGTTATGACAAAAAGGTCAACAACAATACGAACTCGCGCTTTAAAATGTTTTTTATTAAACGGCGTGATATTTCTTGGCAGCATATTTTTTTTTAACCACGTAACTTTACCTATTTTACACAATGTGATCGGTTTTACGTTTTTTTCACTCCGAGCGCGAGATAACGTTGCGAGTTCTAGTGATAATGACGAGATGATAATACCGACATCAACAAAAACCTTTTTTGATTCGTTTGTAATCTTGGCATATCAGGTCAGTTGAAATTCTGGTCTCAATTATCTCGTAAATATAATCGTTCTGATTAATTCGTTTTTCTTCGATAATATAGCTTCTATGGGTCTATCCGATCTTTTTGCTTAGTTTTTTTTTTAATGCTATGTGGTATCAACAGATTGCAGACCGTGCTTACACATTACAATATGATAAATCTCCGAATCCGCAGTTGACCTACACTCGGTAAAGCTGTCCTGTGTGAATTATTTACATAGTATGGCGGCCTCGTGCATATCTTTGATTCTTAGAATATTAATTGGGATTTTATTGCTGATTTGCGAACATTAATTGTTTCCTCACGTATTTGTCTATTTTTTATTATTATTGCACAGTTTTCTTAGGAATCTCGCGGATGAAATATATCGCGCTTTCCTATTTATGAATTATTTATGTTTGGCGACTTTGTCATATTTAGTTCCTTATATTGGTCCGGCACTCTCATTTATGCTTTTCTGCTGGATATATTCGTTTTATAGTTTCGAGTGAGTTCTCGTTGTATTGTATAAACGCGATAATAATTAGTTCATGTCAAATTAACAATTGCGTACTATTAATAAATAATCTTAATAGGTATAAATGGATAAACAAAGGCTGGTCTCTAGAACAGAGAATAAGCTATTTTGAAGAGAGATGGGCTTATTTTGCAGGGTTTGGTAAATATTTTCATTGTATTCATAATGTGTCACATCACAAATTTACAATTTTCTTGCAATGTTTAGGATTTTTATTTACTTTGGTGACATTTTTTGCTAATCAGTTTTTGAGTGCGGGAATATTCGCAGTGACATTTCCAATCGTAAGTTGAGCGTAATTAACATCAGTCTAAAGAATGATGTTCGAATTTAGTCTCGATTAAAAAATTGATGTTATATATTTGTTAGTATATCATCATGGCAAACAATGCACTTCCAATGCCACGAAAAAATGAAAGTGCTAGATTTTCGGCATACATTCCATATCGTATTCGAATATTTTGGCTAGCGAGAAAATTAAATGATCGTCTTATTAAATGCCTCCCTGGACAACGAAGAAGACATGGGCAACAACGCTGATCTTTCGTTTTTGATCTGCAATCTTTACTAATCCTTGTCATATATCTTTGGTTTCTAACTTGACTTTTCTACAGTTAATTAAAGTGTGATGCTTCATTGTTAATGGTTTTTCTCCAATGGTTATTACAATTGGAGCAAATAGCTGAATGGTAATCAGCATCAGTTTCTTCATCTTTTATAAAGAATTTTTTATATATGATCTTTTACCAACACTTTTGCTTGGTGATTTGCTTTGTTGAATATTATCTTGGTTGGTATTATTTATATCAGCATCAGAGAAACTTATTTGATATTACTTGAAATAATCAAATATTTTTTTCAATATTTTAATAATTGTTTTAAATATAATTGGTAATTAATATATTTTTAACTAATTTCAGATTTCATTCAAGTTTTGGATTTTGATTCAAGTTTGGATTCAAAGTTTAAACAAATTAAATCCAAAACAAAATAAATATTCTAAAAGAAATTTGAAATATATATTGTTCAATATTCAATTTTAATATAAATAATATAATTTTTGAAGTAATACAACAAATAATTAAAATTTTTTTAAATTATAATATCTCAAACAAATTTAAAAATATCAAATTACAAATAATAAAATTTATTTAATATATATTATAGTTTTAAATATTATAAAATCAAAATAAATTAGAAAAATATTAATAAATATCAAATATTTTTTGAAGAAAAATAAAAATAATTGTCAATTATCAAATTATAATATATTATAACTCATTTTAATTAAATAGAAAATAAAAATATATTTTGTTAATAAATAAAATCATTTAATATTAATACTTTTTTAAAACAAAAATTTAATTTATATTATTACATAATTTTTATTTTTTTATATAAAAAATATAAATAAAACTAATTACTATAACTTATTTTTTTTTATACTTACAAAATTAATTATATTTATATTTAATTTTATTATATATAGTAGCAATCAAAAAGAATGGAATGCTAAAACAAATTTATTAATAAAACGTAGTAAAAATACAAAAAATGCAAGTTTTTCTCTTTATATAAAAATTTTCAATTTTACTGATAAATATTTTTTATTTTTATATTAAAATAAAGATAATATCACATATTTTAACATATATTTTTTTCAGATTTTTTAG